TTTGATATTCATGAATTTTTATAAACGATTATCCCTCCAATGAGTACGGCCTTGATGTGGCAGAGGGGCTCAGTATTCCGAGGGATTCCTTTGGGTTCCCCATCGGAATCCCAAAGACGAAGAAGCTAATAGTATCCGTTGCACTGTTATTAGTAACGTTAATATTAACATTAGATAATATTATTGTTATTAATAATGTACTAACACGTGGCATAGCCACGAATCGTTCAATGGCTTTCATGTGGCTCAAGTTAATCGGTCGGTTTTGTTAATCGACCGTCATTTTTCCGCCGCCGATTTTCAAGTAAATGAACGAACTGCAATCAGTTCGTCGCGCCGCACAAGCCGTCTGCCATACAAGTGACCGAACTTTTATTTAAAATTAGTCCGCGCGTGATTATAACAATTCGCGAGTGTTTTACGCGAGTGTCTTGTGCTGCGAGGACATCCGACGACCCGACATCTTGAGAGGAGGAGGAGGCCTAGGAGAAGGCATCGAGCACCGGCGGAGCAACCTTGCGGTAAATATACATTTTCTTTCTCGATATAAAATTAATCAGTTTCATATTTATTTGGATTAATAAATTTCGATAATTTAAAATTGATAGTTTTTTTCAGGAAAGAAAAACGGTTTAAAATATTATTTCTATAAAGATTTTTATTGAAAATTATTTTATTTTGAATATTTAATTGAAAAACAAATATGTAGATTCAATATATGTAAAAGCTATTTTATAAAATATCTATCATTTAGAGCGCTGTTGTAATTTGAATGTTCTGTTTCTGTGTTACAGAATCATCGTAGCTACGTGGCAGATTTACTCCGCTGTTGCGCATCGGATCGGTAAGTAACACAATTAACACAATTTTTTTAATGGGGTTACAAATCTGTGAAACTTGGCTTAGATTATTTTTATATATTTATATTTATAAAAAAGTATTGCAGTTGAATCTTCACAGATTCGTTACCCTAAAATAGATAGGCATAAACAATTTGGAATATATGTATACTTAATGAATGCAGCGAGAGACTAATCGACATAACGACGAAAAACCGATAACAATAATTTCGATATATATTCGAGTATCGACTTGACATGCCTTTTTTAGAAATGGATATAAATGATCGAAACAATTGTTTTGCTCAATTCGTGAAATACACAATTGACAAATATGTATTAAAAATACGAAAATTATACTTTTTACGTGACCAATACATTTATATTTTAAAACGCGTATTATAATTCGCGGTTTAATTAAATACGCACTTTGTATGTTCCGTTTGGTGTTAAAGATTGTAAATTAACAGCGGTTTGCTCGAGATTGCACGGATAATCACAAACAAGCCTGATTTATCAACATCAACATCAATTATCCCACTCGTTCTGCTACACTTTCTATCAATATTCAGTTATTCAACCATATAAAGATTTAAGATAAATCCTGCAATTTATAGATTATTCTTCTTTATATCTCATAAGCTTTATATATCACAAGCTTATCGATGCTTCATTAATTTATATTTATCCCGATTATCTAATTGATTGTCCACATTATTTTATTAAATAAACGAAATTATTAATTATACGTAAGATAATATTGCGTCATGATTATCGCGTTAAATTCTCACTAGCCCTTTCCGCTCTTATCTTAATTTATTGACAATTTCGAGAGTTGTTTAGTTATAATAACATCTTTTATCATAAATTTTGTAAAATTTTCCACCATATTGGATTCATCATTTTAAAATTTATTTATCACGTTAAGCTCAAATTCATATTTAACAACTTTCACGGGTTATTAAAAAAGTTGCAAATAATAATATTAATAAAATCTAGTTAATAGTTTTGCGCCATATTCAATCCGCAATTTTGAAATTTGAAATTGTTTAAATTCATATTTAGTGATCTCAAAAATCTTTTATATGATAAATTGTCATTTAAATCAATACACAAAAATATTCTACACATTTTAGATTCACTTTCGAAGTTTCACACTCAAGAAGTTAAGAAAATTGATATAATTTTGATAGAAACACGTTACAAGATAAAAATTATTTTATAATATAATGGTATTAATAGTATACAAAAATATCATCAAAAATATCTAATCGATTTAATGTTGTCTGTGTAGACGAGTGCAATTGATTTCATACATATTTTAGCTGAAAATTTAATGTTTCATTTTTAATAATTTATCGCAAATCTTTTTGTCAAATGTGTCATTTCTCTCAAGTATCTTCGTTCAAGCCATTACAAAATCAAGCTACATTAAACGATACTTTAGGTCTGATTATACTGATGTGTCCACTTGTCATTTTGATCATCGTAAATCTCAGAGGAGATTAAGTTGTAGATATTTATGTGTATAATCTTTAAGGAATGTCTCTCGCACGTACAGAAAACACGATTGGGACCAGCAATCAGCGCGGAACCAACTTAAACAATCTCATTCCTCTCAAGTTTATGCGCGCGCGAGACTGTAATCAATTTCATCATTTATGCGTACTCTTCAACGTTCGGAATTCATCCTTTTAAGAAAGCAATCATAAATTATCCCAGACTAAAACGTGTCCCGTATGGCGTAAGTATGGTTATAAGTTAGCAGTTACAAGCATCGGTCAAAGAAACGAATCGTAGAAGACGATCTTCGAGAGACGTGGAACGACGGATGCAATGACCACCCACGCATGGAAATTAGAATATATCCGAGTTAATTTATAGAAGAATTATACACGCGTAAAATGTAGTATTTAAGCATTCTCTGAAAAGTCCAAGAAAGAAGATATTCATTATGCACATTTACTTATATATAAATAGTTATATAGCACACGTATTGAAAATTGAAATTAAATTGAGAGTGGTTTTAAAACGTAGAATTAATTTATGCAAACAAAATAGATAAAGATCGTGGGATTAGAAATCTTCGACTTCTAAATCATCACCATTTAATCAATAATATCCTATCTTTTAAACATACTAATAAATAATAGAACGATGAAGATAGATGTTCAATACTACATTGATGAAATAATTAAAAAATATTCTAATGTGTATTCTATTGTGATATTTTTCTAAATTTATATTTGCAATGCAAAGATTGAAGAAAAGCGAGTACAAAAGCTCAAATTGTCAATTAAGATAATTATTAATCGTTAGATCATAATTGTAGCGTGATTAAGCAATCTAAATAGCATAATTATAAATGTCTTGGATCATAATGCAATCTTAATTTCAATCGTTAATACATAGTCTGTAATACAGATTCTACGATCATCGTTATGATCATACGAAACTTATATCGCGCACTGAATAACAGTGTGCATCGACGATAAAAAGAGCGAACGATTTCGCTGGTACCACTTTTCCTCTCCTCGAAATGACTTCATTCGCGATTCCAAGGACTTGACCGCGAGAAGGAAGCAAAAACCAGGTAGTAATTGCGAAGAGGAATGCGCGGTGAAGTTGAAATAATAGCCGACACGCTACGACGACGACGATGACGACGATGACGACGACGACGACGACGACGACGATGACAATGATGCATGCTAATGTGAGTACGTATAACTGCAAAGATCAGACTCTGCAACATTCAAATGAGTTTTCTTTCAAGAAAGATGAAAGCACACGTTAAAAGATTATGCCCACGGTCAAAAGATCGCTATCCGTGATACTTAACCTAAAGACCTCATCCGACTCCGACCGCAGTTGGACGAACGTCCAACGGAATAACGCGCGCGTAAAATTCCTACGAGTTATTTCTGCACGATTATAAGCGTCTCACTCCGTCCCGCGGATGTTACGACAAGGCTCTGGCGATTAATTACGATGTTGCATGAGTGCGAGTTTCCATTTTCGAAGTGAATAAGCTCGATCTTGACCTTTTACCCATCTTGACTTGGCTGTTCCTTTGTTATCCGTGCTTGCGATCCGTCGTCAAATTCAAATGTATACGAAATGATGTCCATGTGCGCGCGTGCAATTTTAAGAAAATTTAATTACGATTAACAGCATTTCTCTTGTTCTCTTCTTCTGTGATTACTACTAACATGATTATAACGTACGCTATAATTATAATGATGTATAAAATCGATGTATAAATCTTCAAATGTCCAAGATGTGCAATTTCTGCTTTTAATAATATTAAAAATATAAAAAAAAAAATAGATTGATGGAAAAGAATTATGCACACGAGAGAAATTCTTTATCATCGCTTATGTCAACTTTTGTCAGATATGAATTAATAACAAAGATGTTTAACATGGAAATAGGTAATTTAAGATGTGAGATTATTCGATGTTTTTTCTAAAAGGCAACTTGCTAAAACGAATTTGAGGACTTTTCGATAACTTTGTTTCATCTTCGTTCCTCTTGATTACAGCAACAACTTAATAACTTAATAATTAAAGAACAACGTGTTCGCGTTGATTAGACTGCCGACAGGCATTTTTCGAGTGCCGAGCCATTTTCGCATATTTTATATAAAGTAGATCGATCGCGATAAATGCGGCGCACGAATGGACCGAACGCAATAATCTTTTCCAGGAATCGTAAATTACTAGCGGCCATTATCATTCCGTCCATGGTTATGAGAGTATCCATGGGTGTGAGAGTCAGATACATGATGTCGGCCAACACTCGTACGTATTAGTCTTGATGACATAATAGTGTCTGCAGACTCAATCGAATTCCTGTTCGTAATAATGATAAATGTCTTTATCACTGGTTCATAAAACAATCGATGCACGGCAAAAATATCTGTATGTTAACTTTCATCAATATAAATAGATTGGATATTTGAATTAGATAGCACTCTTTGCAACGGTATTTTTGTGAGATTAGCACGCTATTGTTTAAAGGATGAAGGAATCCAAGAGTCTATTCCAAATAAATCGATATTACAAACACAAATTTACACGGATAATTTATAAAATTTATTTGCGAGGGATATTTTCGATGTTTGCGCAACATCCAATGCGAATGCGATCGAATTTCACGGAACACATCACACAATCGATACGACTCAATAATTTGAATGACGCTCTTGAAATGCAGTTTCGTTTAATCTACTAAGAGAGCGCTAATAAGAGAGCGAAAGAATCATCAAGAGAGCAAAAGAAGGAGGACATTTATAATATTTATTAATAAGCACTCACCATCGGATGGAAATCCATAACGAGCCTCGTCAAGATATTCCTCGTCCGCAAACGAAGGCTGCTCGTTTCGCACCTCGGCGATCTCAACGGCGGCGGTCGTCAGCAGTGCGGTCGTCGACGCGCCGCGCCGCGTCGCGCAAACTCGACGTCGCGACGCGCCACGCGACGCGCGCGTACACTTTCCGAAGGGATGCTGAACGTACCGGCTTGCGCTTCCTCGCGGTCGGGGTCCATCCGACGTGTCGAGCACAAGGATCGACGGGAATTTTTTTTGAGTGCGGATTTCGTGCTCGACCGACTTCTAAGTATCGATAATCAACTTGACAATTCGTTCGATAATTGACGATCGACGTACTCCGCACCTCTCTGGACGACACCTCTTTCCAAGACAAGACAAGACGTCTCGCTCGTCCTAATGATGGAATTTCTCTTGAAAACGATGCTTTCTCACTGCGATGCGATCGTTTCACAATTGAGCTTTGATGAAGAGCGCGTATTTTTAAAAATGCGTCGTCGATTAGGGCGCGTATCTTCGAAAACGCACTTGTGATCACGCAATCGCAATCGGAAGGATTCGAGGATGACGATCGCACGCGTGTTTCCGATTCAAAGACGACGCACACTCGTGATCGCAGGCGACACGGTTTGATGATGAGAATAATGACGACGACAACGATGTACATATCCCGCGACGCGTGCGTGAGTGAAACGCGCGGATCGAGCGCGCGACACAACCGAAACGATGCGTTACGCGAGCGTGATACGAACGAACTAATCGTGCGCCTTCGTCACCTTTCGGGCACGGTCGGCGCACCGCGTCTCGTTTGGTCCAGTGCGCGGGCGGATGCGGCCGACCACAAATCATAGATGTAAATTTAGAGAGTCGAGTCGTCTCGTGTGCCACGGTTGATCTTCTACACATCGATCGCCTACAATCCGTTATTCACCGAACAAGGATCGAGCGATAAAATTATTGAAAAAAATAAATCCAAATAAAAAAAAATCGATCTTGAAGAATGGTAATCTTTCCTAATCTTTATTTATAGTTATTTCATTATTATTATTATTATTATTATTATTATTATTATTATTATTATTATTATTATTATTATTACTGTACTAGTAATGTTTAAGAGAACTGACAATCTTTAAACTCGATTAAAAATCGATTTTTTAATTTCAATGATTCTTAATAGTACAATTTTTTAATAACAATATTTCGTTGGTCAAACTAAAAAATATTGAAAATTGCAATTCTGATAGTTAAAACATGAAAAACCTAATAAGAATCAACTTTTTGTATTTTTCTTTATATCTCTTCATAGGAATATAGAGACAAAATTTATTATATTATTATTTTATGAGATTCGTATCGAATTTTTATAACTTTATGATTGAAATATTCTTATATATTGAATAAATATGGGTAGATAGTTTCTTGAATCCACACCTGGTATAATTTACATCAAATGAATAAGTGGCTTAGGCTAATAACAGCAAACTGTAATACAGAAAATTTTTTTTATTTTTTCATGCTTCCAAGATGTTAATTTTTCAAGATGTTTCAACGAAAATTAAAATAGTACCCTATGCGTGTGTACGTATATATGTACATGTATATGTGTAAATTCCTTTCATTTATACACTCAACTTCATTACTCCAAGTGTTAATATGAATGTATAATGAGCAATACTACAATAGGAATCACTACATGTGCCAAAATATATCGGTTTATTTTACAGTATCAATACAAAAGAGACATCAAGTTTATTTAGACATAAATAAATACAATGTAAACTGATAAAATAATCAACTCTTCCAATTTCGAAGAAATATCTTATTATATATTTACAACAGTAATATAATATATACTTATTATTAATATTATTAAGACAAATATTATTAAAGTTCAGACATATCCAGCAAGGCATTTATATGCGTTGGCATCCAATTTGTACCATTATGGCATACAAATAAGACATTACTGTCGATATATGCCTGAACGTTACCCACTTTATACACTTGTTTAGCCTCCTTATATCTATTCGGGATCGGCATAAATAATATACCTCTCTCCTCACATTTCTTTTGTACGAAATCTTTGAAACCCTGCGGAATTTGGGAGGCTGTTCGTACTGCCTCTGCAAGTCTCTGTAAGGAAAACAGTAATATAATATCTTAAGAAAATATAGCAATAGTACTTACTTGAATCATACAATTATATGCGTAGTATTATTTGAGTCATTCTTTAATAACTCTAAATAATTTAAAGAAATAATGCGTAATTTCTATACCTCCATTCTCGGCTGCACAATCGGTGTTATTTGTGATATCGTTGGCTGAGTTCTCTCTAAACTTGTTAAATATGAAACTTGTTCTAGTGCGCCAGGTTGATGATTTTGTGGCCCACTAACGGCTCTATTCATCATGTCCAATGCCTTCTTGAAATGTTCTGTAAATCATATTTACATATCTAAAAATTTTATACCTCGGACAACTGTAAAGCGCTTCCAATTTTTGTTAACCGAATTTAACATATAATAGGATAACGTTTATTTTATTTCGATTTATTTAATTTTGTCTTTTAATAATTATTTTCGCAATGAAAATATGTTGAAGATCGAATCGTTTACATGGCAGTAATGAAGTTTTATGTGCATAATAAATGTTAATATTTATTAAAATATATCTAGCATTGCCATCTAACTTCAGTTTAAATGATCCATTGTTTACACTCTTGATTTATATTTATATCTCTGATATCTTATATTTATATCTATGATATTTTTATAAACTATAAGGAGAAAAATGTAAATTTTTAATATTATAATGTAAGAAATAACATACCCTTTATTACTGGTTCCGATAGTAATTTGTCGCTTAACATTCCTTTCCAACCCATATACCAAGTTGTAACTTGATCGTAATTAGGTGAATGATTAAGCCAGAGTGCCAAGACTTGTAACCACTTTGGAAAAAAGAACTTGTCAAGCAATCCTGCCATAATATGAACAGGAATTAATTCCTTCCACTCATATACCCAATTCCACTGATCTAAATGTTGTTGATGTGGATTTATAACAAATTCGGATAAAGCTATTTGCAATTTTGGAATAATGTTCTTAACTAAAAATGCTTCCATATCTCCCTTGCTAAATACATCTGCCCAAGGTTGCAGCATCAGTCTAGCGGATCTATCTGATGGATGCCAACCTCCTAATGCAGATCCGAGTTTTCTACGTATTATTGGATAGATTAAAGTATCTAAACGATTCCCTGAATAATATAAAAAATTTATTATTTAGTTTATTAATTAGTTTATTATTTATAATAATTTGTTTATATAAGTCTATATGATCAAATATATATATAAACAAAGTTATATATACTTACGTAATAATGGCAACCAAGGATGAATCCATGTATGGATAGGTACAGTATCGGTTAGAGGATTCCATTCCTCCACTTCTAATGTTAACTTTGGCAATACTAATAAATCCAATATATTTTCTAGAATCCAATTGGGTAATAATGGCATCCAATATTCTAGTAATTCAATTAAAGGTTCAGGCTGTCTACATGTCCATTGCCTAATTTGTTTATAAAGAAAGTTAAAAGAGATATATAAAAAATCATTTATTTATATGTATTATCATATATATATTATATATATATTTTTTTAAATATATAAAATTATATCTTAAAATATATCTAAAATAGATAATAATACATATAAATAAATGATTTTTTATGTATCTCTTTTAAAAATTAAAAAAAAAATTAAAATAAAAAATAATATTCGGGTCGTTGCAAAGCAATATAAAAGAATTATCGACTAGATTCGAGCAAATTGGAAAACAATTAATGACGAAGAAATTAATCTTATGATATTTTAAAATGAATGTTACGAACTTTACTTAATTCTCATCAGCATCAATAAAAAATTGAGAAAAAAATCCTTATAACATAAAAAGAAAGAAAAAAGTATAACATGAAGTATAACATTTCTAATATTGAGGTAATATTATCAGCGGTATAAAAATCAAAGAGATGAACAGATAATAATGATGTACAAACGAATTGCAGAAATAACATTTTAAATAATAATGTATGTCAGAAAAATCTAACATAAATATTGTATTTGTATCTATGCACTAAAAATTAAAATTAAAAATTAGCACCAATTTGTAGTTAATAAAATTTAATATAATTATTACACTTATAACCATATATTATGAAAAATTAATATTTTTAATTACGACATGCTATAAATTTTAATTTTTGCTGTAATTTTTCATTTTTTCTTCTTTGATAATAATCAAAACTATTATTTTCTACTTTTTTATTTTCTTATTTATAATTCTATATTTTCTACTTTGTTGTCACGTAATTTTAATATTTTGGTTGACAGAATTCCCAAAATCCCAAATCTATTAAAATTTCATTTCTGATTCTTTTATGATTTTAACATTTATGAATTGATTTTATATTATTGAACTCAATATAATTCTCGCTACTGATGAAGAATTGGTTATGAAAAAAATGTTTAAGTCACGGATCATATAGTTTTAATCCAAAATGGACTGCTAGACTGTACAAAAATTATTTCTTATTCATTTATTATTGTTTGTCTAGTTTTGATCTATCTAGCCTCTTAACTTTTGTCATAAAACACTTTTACATCATTACATCATTTACATACATACATTATTATTTAAAAGTATTATTTGTTCAATTCATCTATGTATCAGTATTATCTATTCACTTCTTTGATTTTATCACTGATATCTCAATATTAGAATTTCATGTTGTATTTTTTCTTATTTTTTATGTTCTGAGGATTTTTTTCAATTTTTTGTTATATTGATGCTGATGAGAACTAATAATGATTAATTTTTTCGCTATTAGTTGTTTTCCATCTTAATTTGCGAATTTTGCCATTAATCCCTTTATATGTAGCATTTAATACACAGATTTTAAAAATAAAGATCAAAAGTTTTAAAAACATGTGTTAACAAAAACATTAATATTGTCCTTTAATCCTTTCATTACTCTTAATTTATTATATATAAATTATTAAAATTTATTATTAAGAATTACTTACTGTATAGCTCCTCTAATTGAGGGCATCCATGCATTCCATATCAATTGATCATACAATTGCATAGTTCGTGTTTGAAGTGTTGCATTAGTTCCATTTTCCAAAATATCCTTCCACTGTTCAAATAATTTAATTGGCTGTTTTGGTTGCATTAAAGGATTCCAATTGACCAAGCAATCTTTTATTTTCGGTGCCACAAAACTACCGGCCAATTCACCAAGTTCGTACAGCTTGTATTCTTCATAATAATTGTCTTGCAAATTTTTGAAAGCTTCTGCGGTTTCTTGCAGCGATAACTCGTTCGTTTCACTCATCAGTTTATCCACGATTATGAGCACATTTTCCAAGGTACCAATCAATTGGCTGTGTTGATCCACAACTTTAGACAAATTCTTTTTTTCTGCTTCTAAAGAAATTACTCGATCATTTAAATGTCTCATTCGCCGATCATTTTGAATAATGTCTTGCTCACACATATCTACGAGTAAATTTAAATTGTGCTGCAATTCAGGCAGGGCAAAATTCACTTTAGATTTCTTATCAGATGTAACAATGGTCTCATCGGGACATTGCTGACCGCCAGCTATTGCATGATATCCACTAAGAATTCTTTGCTCTGGCCCTGTCATATCAATAACTTTAACCCTGCTCATATCACTAGATACTGGAAGTTTTCTATTAGGCTTCAGTTTCCCATCTTCCAAAACTTGATCTATACTTCTATAACAGTATCTGACTTTTTTCTTACTACTGTTATCACCCTTCCGCCATTGAGATACTTTAGACTTGGATTCTTTTGTTTCTTCCCCATCGTCGTCTTTCTTTTTGTCGAGAATTTTTGGTGTTTTTTCTGGACCATATGCACCAATCGCACCTCTCCCTTTTCTAAGATGTGCTTCTACTGGTGCACTAATTCCTTGCAATTGTTTACCCAAACCTTTACCAGGTTCAAATCCCATCTAAATCAAGAATATTTTTTTATTATTCTATTATTTTTTACCGATTTATAAACAAATTATTTCCTATAAAATACCTGCAGCAGTAATTTAGCACCAATACCCTTTGTATGTACTTCCCAACTACCCATTCCACTTTTCATCAATAATGGATTTACTTGATTGCGCTTTTTACGTAAACCAGCAATATCACTATTCAAATTTAAAGAAAAGGATGAATATGATTTTGAATTATTTGGCTTCTCATCTTCGGAACTAGATTAAAAAAATGAAATGCATATATATGTAAAAATTATTTATTGTGTTAAATCAAGGAGAATAATTTCTCAGAGAAGATTTTAATATTACCTGGAGCTATACTTTGTTTGAGATTCTCCAATTTCTTCCTCATCTTCTTCATCTTTATCTTCTTTTGGTTTTCCTGCTTGTTGAATACCACCAGCAACAAAATTAACTGGTGCTGTATAATTCTTAGAACTCTTAATTAAAAGTTTTAAAGATGGTCTGGCAGATAATTCATCCTCATCGCTGTCATCTGCCCATATTCCTACATTTATTAAGAAAAAATAAATTGTTATTCAAAAATAATAACATAGTTACAGTTTATGTAGAAGTATTTAGTAACAATTACACACACACACACACACATATATATATATATATATATATATATATATATATATATATATAAAATTAAGATTTAAAGAGAGCAAAAAATTTAAGAAAATAAATGTGAAAATTTAGAATTTATAAAATACCAATTGTTCTTAATTTAATAAAACTTAATAAAATCATTGCATCTTATGACATAATAACATTGTGTAGCACATATTGTACCTAGCATTTGTTGTTTCTTCGAAAGTTTACGTCGAGGACGAGCTATGTTAAATTCATTATCCAAGTCATAATCAGTAATTTCAAAGCTTTCTACTTCGTCTTCAGACATCTTGATGTATCTAATTAATTATAATAAGGCTTACGCTATAATTTAACACTAACAAAACAATATAACCTCAAAGTCACCACTCTCAACCACACTCAGCACTCAATATACTGATAGATACACAAGTGCATTGATATATTAATGACTGCGTTCAGAAAACACTCAATTTTGTTCACTAAAAATTTAATAAAATTGCTAGAAAGAAGCCTGAGAGCAGAGAGAAGCCTGAGATTGGTCATGAACGCGTTTAGCTGTACCCTTATTCGCGTAGGTAACGTGCATGTTTTTGTGGTTCTCTTCCGTGCTAGACACAAGAGTGATAAAGATGGACGATATGGACACGACTGTCCATCGAGTACCTCGTCGGTGTTACATGTATGATATAATAAACCTAATAAATCTAAGGATATTCGCGAAGAAAAAATCGTGGAGTTCTCGGGATGTAACAATTTATCATATGCATATCTGTTTATAATCATATATTTCGCCATATCTTTATAAAATATTTTCTTCCAATATCTTTGTTATTATTAGTTATTAAATTTGAAAAAAAATAAAAGTAAATAAATAAGTAATAACGAGGGATTAAAAGACAATAAAAACTTTTCAAGAGAATAGTAAGATATGATATATTCAATTTTTACTTAATATTCGATAATATAATACTTATATACACATATAATATATATATATATATATATATATATATATGTGTGTATCATACATATATCTTTATATTTATAATTA